AATACATGATACATGCAAGAATCACAAGCATATAAACACATTTGCAAAACCAAACAAAGGAAATAGACTATTACATGGAAACTAAAATTGGGTAACTTAATGATGTTTCTTTCCACACAACCGTGTCCTAACATATAGCCTGTTTTCTTTTTTTTAAAACAGATGTCTGGCTCTTTTCAACGAGGGAAAACATTATTCTCTAGTTCCCCAAAGAGTCTGACCTTTTGAATTCTCACAAGGCAAGAGTCAAACTAAAGAATTCTGAGCAAGTGGTACCCCTAAATTCCCAGGCTCAGAAGTGTATGCCATTAATTTCCCTGACCAATGGGAAATAACTGTTCATAAAATTCTCTCGAAATAATCATGTCTGTCATCAAATTTGTTCTATGTCACTGTACAGTTTAAGCAACCTATTCAATGCAACAGGAGCTTAAACGTATACCCTTTTAGGTTTCAGAGATGAAATAAAAGAATAATCAGTAAACTTTCTCAAGACTTTATTGCTTGACAATGATAACTTCAAAGCACAATTTATTCAACCTTTTAAGTTTCAGTAAGTCTTTAAAATTCGCCACATCACATTAGGCAACAGAGATTATTTATTATGTACGAACATATGTAGTTGATTTACGAAAAAGCAGATATATGCGAACAGGAATCTTATCCGCTTTTCTTTAACAGCAGATGTCGTTAGTAAAGGCGCTTGCAAGTGCCGATTTAAATGTATTAGGTTGAAGAATCAATATATCTTCTTTGCATAATGACTTATCCTCACTGAATAATGCACATTCGCACAATACATAAATTGGAAATACTTTTATTATCTTGAATCAAAAATCACTTCCACAGGAACTACATTTATGGGTTTAACTCGTGCAAGCAGATACCCGAAAGTCCAAGAGCAAAATAAATTCGAAAATTATAGGAACATTTGAGCAACTGCTACTAGGATCAAACACTAATGATGTCTTAATGCATACATAACATCATGTATATAAGATTTATTTTCTACATCTAATGTTTCTTGCTAAATTGTGCAAGCAATTTTTATTGAGGAATAAAATGTTCACTAAGTTGTAATGGTTGAAAGTCTATTCAGGTTATCTATATTTGATTAAAACTGAAACACCTCTGTCCCTTAATATGTTGTCTACTTTAAACCTCCGTCCTTCACGTGTATTCAAATAAGGCTGAGTTTGCATACTTCATGTTGTGAACAAAATGGTCAATCCAAATTTTGTTGGTATGGAGCTGTTGAGAAAGAGTGTGATGGAACCAAGTTTTGGACCACCATTTTGAAATGCCTCTTTGCATCAACGTTTAGAGTGTGACACAATGGACATGAAATTGTAAATGAGACAATACTGACTGACACCATTTTGGAGTAATGGGTTTCCTAATACAAGTTCCTCATGAACGTTAGCTTGCAGACAGGCCGTGAACCAGGCTAAGGAAACCCATGCCGGGTCTCAATGACCTGAAGTTTTCAAAATAAACTGATTTTAAAGTTTTTCTTTTCTTCAGATTTTGCATCTGATAACTTTACTTAGACCAAAGTTAACGTTTATTAAAAATATAAAGAAACTAGGAAGATTCTGACAGTTCTTGGTTTATAGTTTTATTATAATTAAAGTTAATGTTTATTGCACAGATTTCAGGATTTTAACCGTTACCAAAATTTGTACAATGTTAGGACCATTCTAAAGACTATATTATCCTTTTGTGGCACAGATTTCTAGTGTCTCAGTGTAGTCTAATACTTATATACAATCTAGTGGCTCACGTCTTACGTACATACAATGTAGTGTCATAAGTCTTAATATAGTGTCTTACAACTTATGTACTTACAATGTAATGTAATGCGTCTTACAATGCTCTGACTTACGACGTACGTACATATGCAGTGTCTTACGTCTTACGTACATACAATGTATTGTCATAAGTCTTACATATATACAATGAAGTGTCTTGTCTTATCTACATACAATATAGTGCAATACGTCTTACAATGTAGTGTCTTGCGACTTACGTACGTCTTAGATAAAGCAATGTAGTGTCTTACATCTTATGTATATGCAGTGTAGTGTCTTATGTACATATCTTGCAGTGTCTTACGTCTTACCTATACACGATGTTGTGTCTTACGTACATACATTATTTATAGGATATTACATTTGTATGGGAAAATATGAACGAGTTTTTCTGAACAAAACTGTTCAACCTTGGGAGCAAAGAATTATTCCGAGAAAACGATTTCATGTTTTCCATACAAATGCGGCAAACGTTTTATTATGTACTTATTTTTTCTATCTTAGGCTTGGTAGTAAAACTAAATACACTGCAAGAACTGAAGTAATTGAATGTATGCTCTATTCCAGAACAGATACAAAACCGTACATTCATCAATGCATAGTAACAACATTAGTGCGCATCCATCACTACCCAGCGACCGTTTGAACTTGATCGCGCTCACGTTAGTTTAGAAAATAATTCTCCTTTGGTCTTACTTAAAATTGACATTTATAGTCATATTGTGAATGAATGCGCATTGTCATAACTTTTCTAGTTGGTCTGAGATTTTGTTTCTCTGTCTATTCTTCTCAAATATTCTTTTCTGCTTGTGAGGGACTGGTTTTATTAGATGTGTCAATTATGTACAATGTAAATGTTATTTGAGCAGTGGACCCTTCGTGAACCAACTGCGTGCGTGTTTCTGTTCTGTCATTGAGTGTTTGGAATATTGTTGTGGGAAAATACGAATGCTTTCAACTTGAATTATCAAACAGACGCTATGGAATATCATGTTCATTCCATTTTAGTGTAGTAAGAAGAATGACATTGAATTTGGAAATGTGTTCGAAATTACAGTCCAATTTCGCAATGTGTATCAAGTTTTGTAACCCAGACATATATCGTGTAATTCAGATTTACAGAACTAAGAAAGTACATTTTGAGGATATATTTGCCATTATTATCATCTAAAGAAACCATGCTGATGTCTTATCACTTACATGCTCTTTGGAGAGACCCCAGCTGTATACATGACCTGTATGGCTTCTATCGCTAGCCTAGTCGAAAACGTTGTATAAAAAAGTTAACGTGGAAAATTGCCAAGCTATTGCTGTATGACAGTGCACTTAGTTAGCTGAAAAAAAAATGTTTCCTCTATTTGTCTTATTGGCGATGAGGCTCTTATTTTGTTTCCAAAACCTTCAGTTGAATTTTGTCTCGAATTTAGTACTTTGACTTATAAAATTGTACGTCTCTGGCAGATATGCGAAATCCCATGGCTTCCATATAATTTTCTGTGCTATTTGTACAGACTCCAGAGAGCACTAGTCATAGTCTGGACCATTATATTTAAAAAAGTTACGAATATGTTTCGGAAAAAACTCTTTAAATGATCGGAATGGGATTTTCAAATCTGCATCGCTCACGTTTCTTGTGGAAGTTGTGAATATCATATTAATCCGTTTGCTTGTACAAAAGTTGTATTTGTGACTCAGTAAACTTGTCCACATTGTTTGTCATATCTTATTGCAAATGGACCAAAGAGCTTCTTAGTTCGTTCACAAAAATAATAAACGAAAAATCTAAAGCGTGTGCTAAATGAGCGTACATTTCTTACAATAAAAGTAGTTCTGTCACTGTCAAGTTAACGGTAAATATATGAGCATATAATAAAGTGTCTTACGTCTTACGTATATACAATGTAGTATCTTACGTCTGATGTACATACAATTTAGTGTCTTACGTCTGACGTACATATACAATTTAGCGTTTTACGTCTGACTTACATACAATTATGTCTTACGTCTGACGTACATACAATTTAGTGTCTTACGTCAGACGTACATGCAATTTAGTGTCTTACGTCTGACGTACATATTATGTAAAATCTTACGTTTTAACTATATACAAGTAAATACATCAAATACAACTTGAAATCAAGTATCATACCAACAACGTTACTGATTGGTATGCAATAAAAAAACAATATGGATATAATGTTCACGTTATTGTGTATATTATAGGGACAAACATATTGCAGTCCAAAACAATGACTATTTTATACTTTCCAGTTGTTGCCTATACTATTATAATAGAACTAATAAATCAGCACGTTCGTAGATGTGATTTAGGTACATGCAATTAGTAGTCCATCCAAACAAATTATTTCTTTATAACATAGAACGAAACTAGTAACGGACAATATAGAACCTTTCAAGCATAGTAATTTTGGTCCCGCAAAATTGGTATAAACATTGCAAGGGCCACTCGGTAGACTTTGCATAGAGACCAAATATCCTATCTATTAACATTCCAGTGAAAATACGGCCATATAAACATCAGGGAGTACATTGGAGCAAATGTACAATATGATAAACTAAATAAGGAAACCAAAAAGAGGTAATTCAAACATTTCAAATATTACAAATCATGTAAGTCAGGCATGTCCAACCCTAGACTCAGCCCCTCCCATTGTGCGGCCCTCGCTCATGTAGACAATCCTCTTGAAAATATGCTGTTTGAGATCAATAATTCGTAATTAAGAAGTATGCGCTGCGACCTTAGGCATTTTATCAGTTTTTGCCCCAGTAAAAACAGTGATAAAATTATGACTACACCAATCATGAACGACGTTACAAAAGCAACACTTATTGAGATTGACATATTCCGTATAGGATAACTTGGCGAATCTGGTACACATTTATGTAACCCTTTATTTGATTGGATGCAGTGAAGGAAAATATTTCGTTTGTGACTCCATCATGTTTAACCAGGCGTCATGTGCTGTGATTTGGAATTTTAGCGTAGCTTTAACAATTTTTCAGTCATATCACTAGGATGTCTGCAATGTGGCAATTTATAGTGCTGTCTATCACTGCGGCATCATTCCGCAGACATGTTGCAATATGTCCCACCCAGTCACATTATCCTGACACCATGCCGACCAGTTTTAACACTGCTGTTAGTACTAGTTTTATAAGTTTTTGGTATAACTTGGCCAGAGATTGAACCCACGACCTCCCGCATCCGAGGTGGACGCTCTAACCACTAAGCTACCGAAGCAGTAGAAAAGCTAGGTGTCACACACTAAGCCTAAAATAGAGAAAAACTTTGTTAAACAACGAGCCACCAACAGTTGTCGAATTTAAATGTAATTTTGATGGACAAAATAAGGTCAACTCCTTGAAAGTTCTATAAAATGAGACACGCATTTTCAGAGTTAAAAATATGCAATTAACGGAATGACAGGTAGACTATGCCTTTTAAAAAGGAAGTAACTCCTATTTTATAAGAAAGTTAACAAAGATGAATAAAGGGGAGCAATTCCTGCCGCATACATGTATCATGATGTCCCACCCAGTCACATTATCCTGACACCAGACCGACCAGCCCTAACACTAACTTCTTAATTCTGAGAACCTAAGCAGCTGTTAGTACCATTTTTGTAAGTCTTTGGTATGACTCGACCGGGGATCGAACCCACGACCTCCCGCATCCTACTGGGTCTAACCCTATCTTTTATTTTTACTTTTACGTTTTTCTGTGTGTGGTGTGTGTGTATGTGTTTGTGTCTGTATGTGTTTGTTCAGTGCTCATAAACTATGTAAGAAATGGAAGCAAAACAAACAAACACGTTTTCTAAAACTTACAATTGTTTTAAATGTTAAAGTAATTAAATGAAAATTTAGGAGGAATGAACAATATTATGAATCAAATCATAAATACTTGAAAAAGGTGGAGGTGTCAGTAAACTTCCATATATCTTGCAGGAGCTACAAATAGCTATGATCAAGACAAAAAAACGTAATAAGACGGAATGGATGTGAGTATAAGTAGTGCTAAACTTACTAAACTGTAGCTCATTTTATAACAGGGTCTGAAAATAAACCGCCAGAAAAACGTAAAAGATTAGGTTAGAATAAAAGTAGTACTAATATACTGAAACTGTGCCTGAATTTAGCAGAAACTAAAACAAATCCAGTAAATGTCATCAGTTTTGTATCAGAAAAAAGTAATAAAAAAATTTGAAAAGGTTCACGGAGACTAAACAATTATTGACGAATTTAAAAATTTAATATTGTTTGCAAATTTTGACAAATTTTAATAACATTATTCATATTTTCCTTACAGATATTTACTGATATGTATAAAAGTTCAAAATGTTCTACACGTTTTGTGTGATCAACACTCCACATTTACGAACCAACAAAAGGGAATTGTTACGTGACAAGGGTTTGTACTCAGTAACAAAGAAAAGAGTGAAAGCAAAGAAGCTTTGCAAATTTTTAACAAAGCGATTTATTTCCCTAGACAACAATGTAAAAAAATTGGTAAATAGGTAAATAGGACTTACAGTTTGTGAATATAATCCAAATATAAATAAAAGCACAAGTCCTATCACTAAATAGTCCTATAAGAATCCAGGTTCGAATCCCGACGACGTACGAAAATGGAGGGAGATGACGTCAGATGTAGTCCAATGTTTGAATATCAACAATTCCTCACTTGTATCATAATCTTTGTTTCCAAATAATTCCAGAATAAACTTCTATGAATGTATTTCAGAATGTTTTATAAGAAAGTCAACTTGTTGGGTTTCCAGGGGAATAAATTATTAAATCAAAAATCAGTCAAATAACAAACATTCTTGGCAACAAATTAAAAATACATACACTTTGTTCCTTCAAGTTTTTGAATGACTCTCCGCAAAAAAATATTAAGAATGCCTATTTGACATCAAAACATCACTTGAAATCTCGCGAGATTGGTCATGTAGTCTCTTACTACACTAAAATTCACACGTACGCCAATGTGACTCCACTTAAAAAAAAACAATCATAAAAATCACGCAAAGAAAGTATGTTCGTGATGCTGATCAATCGTTTTAACTTCCAGTTGACTTGATTTTGTAACCAGGGTAAGATGGACTCAAAGTCAATTCTCTTGTATTACTATTTCGTTTTAAGTAAACATATTTGTGATAAAAATATATCTCACTACTAAAAATAGAATCCCGAATCGAGAGAAAAAATATTCATTGTAATTAAATACAGAGTAACAAAAATGAAATAAAAAGAATTTAAAACTTTACACACAAGCAATTTAATCACATATACGTAAAAGAAGACTGATGAAAACTTACATTTTACCATCCAACACCCGATAGTCACAATCCATCAATCCACACTTACTATCCCACACGGCGTTTTCGTTTCATTCCGTTAAAATGTTCTTGTGTTTCTTAGACGTACAAAAAAAAAAACAAATTAGGAAAAAAATACACTTATGTGTTTCGTTATATTTTCCTGAATTAGAAATAAATTTTGAAAATATCACAAATTTCACTTTTGCTTGACCGTCATGATCTTATAAATTCGTTGCCTTTTACTTCTTTTTCTCCAACTTCTCTGGTCTTCATGAATGTGTTGACGAATATGTTTTTTCAGGTTCTGCTTCGGAAGATTACTCTTTGCCATTACCTCTTTTTCTTTGAGGGAGTCTGAAGAGCCGTGCCTTGTTGTTGTTGTTGATAGACTATTCCTTTTCTTTGGTATAAATTTTCTCCTGTCATTGTGTTTCCTTTGATGATGTATACATTTTGAAGCCGAATGTAATTTCTCGACAGAAGTACGTGCCACCTTAACGTTTATGTCGAGCGGAGTCGTGAATTGTCTTGCTGAAAGTGTACCTTTGAAGCATCCTCTGTAAATCTCTGACCAGATGTGCGATCTACTGACTCTTTCATCTTTAAAGATTAAAAACTGTACGTGTGCGTTCTCTTAGTTTGCAGGATACTCATTATAGACAGATATAGACGTAGCATATAATGATTTTGTATTATCTACTGTCATGAACTTAAAATACATTACCAACGAAAATGTAGAAGTCAAGCGACGAGAACGTTCTGTATCACGCAACACTCTCCAATACGTATTTTCAGAAGTTCACGTTAGCGGTTTTGAAGAAGACATGATTGATGCATATCCAAATCCTTCTGTCTCAAATGATCAGAGATAATCAATAACAGCCAAGATAAGTCCTTTTGCATCTCGTGAATATTATTTTCACATCCCACCAACCCAATTAATAACCTCTGAATAAGTTAGAATAATGGCTTACACTTACATGTTGAATTAACACATTCTTAGTCCCAATTTTTGTCCCGTCTTTGCATGTCTGTTCATAAATTTGTCACAATATATATTTTGGCAAACAAATGCTACTCTAATACACACACACGCACACCCTCACACACACACACACACACACACACACACACACACACACACACACACATACACACAAGAAGCCACGTAAAAAATTCAAAGGATTCTCGTCTTGTGGAATAAGTTGTTTTAAAAGTACTTGGTAATTCAATATATCTGGAACAGTTGTCATTGAGTGTCTCTTCTATGGAATTTGATCTAACATTTTCTGACCATTGCAATATTTTCAAAGTGTTCAGTCTTCTTATAACTTTTAGATACATTGATTAAAACATATGTGTCGCTTATGATGCAACTGTTGTTTTCATTTCACTTTAATCTATATAAATTGTAAATGTATTATCACAGCTCAGGACGTAGGTTTCGAATGTACGGTTCATTTCTAGGAATATCTTCCAACCATTTGAATATCTTCAAACCAATCATCTTTATGAGATTTCCTTTAAGAAAAAAACCTATATGTCAGAGAAAGTGTAAGTATTTTTGGAAGGTTTATTTGTTAAAAATACATCTACAAGCCTCATAAACGTATATATATATATATATATATATATATATATATATATATATATATATATATATATATATATATATATATATATATATATATATATATATACACTGACAGCCATGCCATTAGTAAAAGCTTAGATGGGTTGTAGGTCCGAACAAATTCAAAAGTAAGGATATGCGAAAAGTCTAGTTCACGAAATTTGATTTCTTGGTTTGCTAAAATCCTTATTCCAGTAAGTAGATACTATATGTGGCTTCTTGACTCTTATAATTTTTGGGAATTTATAATAATTTTGAGTTTGGGTGTGTGTGAACTCAAATGTGAAATATAATGTTAAAAATGTCGATAGGTTTTTAAGTTATGGATCTCTGTTTCCTCTAAATTGCAAAGTAATGCGTCCATTTTTTGATAATGAGTCTCAATGCCAGATAACGGAAAATGTAAATTTACATTTGGTAATAAATACGCCGTTTCGAGTGACCAACACTCAGTTATCTACTATCTCAAATCTAGTTATATACTGGCCAGCACTCAACACTATACCATAATCTGGAATTACTAGTTTGAAACAAGTTACTCTACGCTATTTGAAAGATAAAATGGAACATGAAGAACCTGTATGGAGACATTTGTATCTAGAAAACAATTACAAACATTATCATGGTGTCAAGATAGCCAGAACAAGAACATTTAGTCTCTAGTTGTGCTCGTGACTTTGTTGAAACAATAACAAACCTAACCTGAGAACTTTGTTTTTTTGAAATCAATCATCCTAGTCAGAAGTAACAAGAGAAAAGTTGGATGACGAATTAAGAAGAAAAGTTGGACGACAAATTAAGAAGAAAAGTTGGAAAAGTGTCTGAAAGAGACATGGACTCTTTCGGAAGAGAAGCTATTGACAAATTGGTATAAAACTTGAGTGACCTTTCCTTACCTTGACTGACTTATCTAAAGACGAAACTCATCGAGGCTCTCTTGTTACAGAGTAAGGAGACAATACAATTATCGATTTACTTGACATATATTTTCAAGGAAAAATGCATGGTTAACCTAATCACTTATTATTGCGTATGAATGAATAAAGAAAAATAGATACCTGGAAACAACATTACCATCTGACTCACATAACCTCGCAGAATTCAGTGACGAATACAACAAATGAACTTCCAGAACGAAAACCTAAACACGTTCAGTAAAAGGTTATCAAGAGAGACGAAAAGACGAAAGTCATCGAACTTGAACCCACTGGGTAACTGTCTTCTTTCATAACGATCACTTGGATTATTTTGATTCTTATGGATTACATCCTCTGGATGACGACAT